GGCATTGCCAAAAAAGGGAGCAGCAAATTTATTTATGTGCTAACCCTGCAACAAATTTGGTCACAGGTAAAAAAAAAACCAAAACCCTAAGATTAAACTTGCAACTTACCTAAAAGTTACAACTGTGAAACCCCAGTAACACCAATATATGATTGATATTTTGCAGAGAGAAAGTCGAGGTGCAGGGAATGGTATCAGTTCACCCATAACTTCAGGGAGCCCATGGCAGAGCCAGACTTTAATGGATTTTCAGCAATGTCCCTTAAGATTAGCCAACATGCTTTTGTGATAAGTGCTGGGAAATATAAATCAGTTGAGGAAGTTCTGCAAAATGTGTCAGAAGACAATTTCCTGATTAAAAAAAAAAAAAAAAAAGAGAAAAAGCACCAGGGGTGGACAGTTCCATTTCTAATGCCTAACAAGGAAGAAATCACTGCAAGCCTGAGACTTTCGGGCTACTTGGATTGGGTGGCTTAAGGGAACTTACGCAGGTTTACATCCAAGTTACACAAACTTGGAGGAAGCAGATTACTCATGGAATGGCCTGAGCCATGCATGTGAGATGGATGCAAAACACTCAGGTTTTTATGCATCTCCAACAGCGTTTGGGCAAATCAGAGCTGCTCCCCCCAGCCCCCAGAGTGAAATCAGTGCCAGAATCATGTTGTTCAGCAACCAAGCTGGGACCGTCTGCAACTCATTCCCAAATCCTCAGCTTCACTCAGGAGCATTTTCTCCAGTGATAAGGCTCCATCAGGAAACACAGCTGGATGGAGGAAGGAAATTCTGAGAAGCAAAAAAAATAGTGGGGGTTCCAGGAAGTTCAACCAGATAGGAACTAATGGAATTTGTTTTTCTGTCTCCCCAGCTCCCAGTGTTCCTAAGCAAGTGAGAAAATCACAGGGAAAAGTGGTGGCAAAAAACAAGTCTGGCAGATCTTAGCCTGCAAAACAGGTCCTCACTGCAGGTCTCCAGAGAGCATCATAATTACAATTCAATATTTTCGATCACTTGCTCTCCCTGGGAAAAACTGCAGACGTTTTCAATTTGGTCCACTCTGAAGCCCAGCCATTGTTTTCTTCCCCACCTCATTTTTTTGACTTGTATTTTTTTTTTTTTGTTTAAACAAAGGTCCCTGTGTAGTTTATTAAAGAGGTTTGAGTTGGACACATGATTTATCAAAAATAATTTTTAAAAAAGGGCTGTTATGTTGAACATTCAGGAGAATTAAAAGTTGCAATTGCCTCTAATTAGTAACACATATCCCAGAACCATCAAAACAACAGCATTGTAGTTTTATTACTTCTAGAGAAACTCCTTTCGACCCTCAGGGGCAAACAGCATTTCCTCTGCAATCCCCCTCTTTTGCAATCTTTACAGTCCTCTGGCCAACTCCCTCTTCCTTTGATAAGGTAGATAATCCAAGTTTCAACATTCCCCACTTACTGCTGTAGAGTTGGTGTGGAACAAGAGAAAGGATCCATCACCAGAGCACTTCAGAAGAGCCAGGATTATCCTGCTGGTCCAGAGACCATCACTGAGCCTTGAGTTCTCCCACTAGTTCCCCTTGGAGCATAAGCATGGATGGAATTCCCTGTGTTTTGCTTTTTTCTTCTCTTTTCCTAACCTCTGGCTGGTGTGACACCAGCCAACCAGCCAGACCTAGTGCAACAATAGGGAGGTTTAGATTGGATTTAGGAAAAGTTTCTTCATGGAAAGGTTTGTCTAGCACTGGAACAGGCTGCTCAAGGAAGTGGAGGAGTCACCACCCTGGAAGTGTTCAAGAAACACGTGGCTATAGCACCTGAAGACATGGCAAAGTGCTGAACAGCCTTGGAATTCAGGATTGTAAAGGTCTTTTCCAGTTTTAACAATTCCATGATTCTATGATCTCTTCTGCCACTCAAGTGATCTCTTTTAACCACCCATTGAAATTTTGTCATGGGTTTAAACTGGAGGCTTTAGAGAAGGCTGATAATCAAAACTCTGGACAAACTCCTGAGGAAATTGCCATAGCTGACCCTGCTCTGAGCAGGTGAATCCTCTGGAGACCTCCAGGTCCCCTCCAGTCCCAGCAATTCTGTGATTCTGTGAAAAGCAGCTCCTGAATATTCCCATGAACTTATACCCACGTTTTTCTGATCCTAGACTGAAACAAATAGAAATAAGGGAGAAAGAATTAAGCTGAAAATCTTTGTCAAAAGATCAAGAGTGGAATGGTAGATCTGTTGGGGTCATTCAGTGCACATCAAATGTGTGCTGAATGCTTCTCAAGCTGCACCTCTCAGAACAGAGGAGGGAGAGAGATGATACCTTAGAAAGAGCCTCAGAGACAGGACTTCAAGCTGTAAAATCATGGAATGGGTTGGGTTGGGTTGGGTTGGAAGGGACCTTGGAGATCATCCAGATCCACCCTCTGCCATAGGTGGGGACACCTTCCACTACCCCAGGGTGCTCCAAGCCCCATCCAGCCTGGCCTTGAACACTTCCAGGGATCCAGGGGCAGCCACAGCTTCTCTGAGCAAGCTGTGCCAAGGCCGCACCACCCTCCCAGGAATTTCTCCCCAGTATCCCATCTAGCTCTGTCTTCTGTAAGACTGAAGCCATTCCCTGTGTCCTGTTTCTTCCAGGTCCTTGTAAATAGTCTGTCTCCATCTTTATTGCAGCTCTTTTCAGGTACTGGAGGGCCACAATTAGGTCACCCCAAAGTTTCTCTTTTCTCGGATGAACAATCCCAGTTCCCTCAGCCTTTCCTCACAGCAGGGCTGCTCCATCCCTCTGATCTTCCTGGTGCCTCCTCTGGGCTCGCTTCAACAGCTCCAGGAGTTTCTGGGCTGGGTCATGTCCAGCTCTCACCCACCAGCACCCCCAAGTCCTTCCCCCAGGTCTGCTCCATCCCTTCATCCCCAGACTGGATTGATCCCAGGGGTTGTCCTGGTCCAGATGCAGCACCAGCACTTGGTCTTTTTAAATCCATGAGGTTCCTGTGGCCACTGCTCCAGCTTTGCCAGGATCAACAGGGGTACTTCCATCTATCATCTCCATTGCACCCACAGCTGGGAACCTGCAATCAGATTCATGGATAGGAGCAGTTCTGGCTCCTGTGGAAGTATGGAAGTCCTTATCCTGTCATCAAGAAAAGCAGCCCAGGGTTGTAGGAGCTGAAATTTGAAGGGAACTGAAGCCTACCACAACCTGCAGGAAAACCCAGGGCTCTGCTGGGCACCAGAACCCTTCCTACCTCATCTCCATGTAGGAACAACTCAGGGAGCTCTGTGCCACAGCAGGGAAATGCCCAGAGCTCAGGGATTTCAAACCAAAGGCAAACACAGGGAATTCCCCCCATGGGGCACTTCTCTTTGTGCCACCTTAAGGAGCAGGCTCCAGGACATGATGGGAAGGGTGGAAAGGGATCAGAAGAGTTCATGGGTGCAGTGCAATGAAACTGCTCAGAGCTGGAGGGCCTGAGCAATGCACTTCTGTTCTGTGCAAACTCCACAGATCTCTGATCCATGAAGAGAAGGAGAAGGGGGAGCTGGGGGAAGCAATTGTGCTGCCTCTGGCTTCCTCCCCCTGTGGCTGCTCAGCAGCAGCCAGAAGACAACAATGCAGCTCCAAATTCTGCTCCCTCCTGCCTGGATTTGCATGAGGAAATTTGGGTGCTTAGGAGGGAACAGTCTGTGACTTTTCTGCCAGGAGTTTGAATCATGTCAGGAAATCTGCACAGCAGCCATCAGCCAACCACTGCATCTGTCAAGGGATTGGCAAAAACATGCACAAACTTAAGACACCCTTCATAAAATCTATGTGATTTCCAGTGTTTATCCACAAAAGAGCAAATGTTCTGCAGGAAAAAGTCCCAGAAGAAGCAACTTTCCAACTCTGAATTTCAAAAGATGTAGAACATAGAGAGAAAACAATACCAACTACTTGAGACAACTCATGAGTGGGCAAAATCTGCTCCCTCAACCCCAGCAGTGCTGAGCAGCTTTAAATCCCAGTTTGTCCTGCTTCCCACTGATCTGACAGCAAGGGAGCCAAGGAGAAGATCCAGGGCATATTTAGGTGATCAGAACCAACAGGGCTCCCTGGTACAAGTTTACCCACAGGATGTGAGAGCTCCAACAGCTCCCATAGACTGGAAGTTCCCAAATCCTTGTTTCAGCTCTCAGTGACCTGCAGTGAAGTTCCACAACAACTTCCAAGAGCACAAGGAGCAAGGTGTCAAACACTACAGGGTATTCCAGAAATTTCCACTCCAAGCCCCAACTTTCTCTTAAAACCAAAGATTTCTAAGAACTTGGAACCAACAGGGCAATTCCTGCAATATATTCATTTGTGCTTTTCCAGGTGTTATTTTCCCAAAGAATTTTTCTGGATATGTTGGTCATGTCACAGTTATTTTATCCATTGATTGAGCTGGTCTGTGCTCTGCAAGTGAAAATGCTAATGAACACATAAATAAAATAAAAACTGGTCCAAACTTGGATCTCATTATCCAAACTTAGGGGAAAGGTCTTCTTATCAAATATTTATCACTGTTCAGGCCACCTCTGAATCTTTTGCAGCTGCTCAGCCTTTTTCAATTTTTGTGAAAACAAGGGCAGTTTGTGGAGATTTCCCAGTTGTTACTGGGATATCTCCACAGTTGTTACTGGGATATTTTATTTTGGATATTCATGGATCTTTCACAGAATCATTTAGGTTGGAAAAGACCTCTGAGAGCATCAAGTCCAACATGTGACCTTTCAGGTCAAGCAAAATTCTTCTTTGTGATATACACTTCCTACCAAAAAATTAAAATACTGGAGTTACCTATCTCCAAAGAAGTTATATCATGATAATTCACAAAAAACAGGAATTAAAATTTACTCTTATTTCTTCACAGTTCAAGCACAGCACCTCAAGTAGAAAAAACAAATTGGCAGAAGACATTTGGATATTTTGTTATAAAGGATAATAAACAAGGAAACAAGAGAAATTAGAAGATTCTTGCTTACCTGGGTCTTGGCACCCTTCTGCCTTCTCCCAAAAATGCAGGACAGGTCCTGTTCAGTGCGTGAAGAGAGATCCTTACCTGGAAGGGGTAAAGAGAGGAAAAAACCCCAAAACCTTCACATCTGAGGATGCATTTTGGTAACAGTGTGACACACAGACAGAGAGAAACTGTGCTTGGAGATAAAACAAAAATCAGGAAGTCCAGGTTGGATGGGACTTGGGATAGTGGAAGGTGTCCCTGCCATGGCAGGGGGTGGAATTAGATGAACTGTAAGGTCCCTTCAAACCCAAACCATGCTGTGGTTCTATGCTAAAGCCACTAAATGAAGGTACACAAGAGGAAATGTTTGTATACATTGGGATCTTTGGATTCTCACAAGGATTCCCCATTTCTTACAGAAATTAGGGAGTTACAGCTCCTCCACACAATGGAAAAAAAATCCTTTTTTACTCAGTGGGGACTTTTCTCTGATTTCTGATGTTGCTCTTGAAAAGCAAAACCTCCACCTCTGCCACACATTGGGTTAGTCCAACTCAAAACCATTTCAAGGGTGAAGCAAAGATTTCCAGGAGGGCCATTATTGCCATCTGACTGTTGTGTGGTGAGCTGGATATCAGACATGGAGCAAGGAGAGGGAAGCAGGAGAGTGTGATGTGATGTGATGTGATATTCAGAGATACAGACAAAAGTTTAACCAATCCCACAGTGCAGGAGTTGTTGAGTTGTCCACTGACTCCATCAGAAAATTCTTTTGGAAAAGGTCAGCAAATTTAAAGAAACAAAATTAACCCAGACAGGTCAACTTGTTAAGACTCTGCTGGGATCTCAATCACTTGAAAAGCAGTGACTTCAAAATGAATCTTGTAATGGCCAAAAAAACCCAAAACAAAAACGAAACCAAAAAAAAAACCAAAACAAAAAAAACAAAAAACAAAAAAAAAAACCAAACACAAAACCCCCCCAAAAAAAACAAAACAAAAAACAACCAAAACCAACCACCCAAACCAAAACCAACCAACCAACCAAAAAAACAAACAAAAAACCCAACAAAAAAAAATCCCCAAATCTTCTTTTTCCTGGGATCCTTAACTGTCCCTGGAGGGTAAAGAGACACATCAGCCTAGAGGAGCAAGTGTTCCCCAGCTTCCTGCTGCCTCACTGCACTGCCTCAAAATGGCCTTGTCCAAGTAAGCTGGAAGACACTGGGGTTGTTTTCAGTTTTCTCTTGGCCAAGGCTTGGAATGTGACACCTAAAATCCTCCTGCTCTGGTTTTCAGGCTACGCTTCCTTTCCATGCCTCCCCCTGGACGTATCCCCCATTTTTCCTCTAACAGAAAACCAACTCAGCTGACAGCCTCAATCTCCTGCAGCATGACAGGGGAGCAGCTACTAGAAAAGCAGCTGATTTAATCTGAGCTTGGGGTGTATTTCCCAGATCCTGGGGTGGCTGTTCCTCCAGCAGAGAGGCTCCAAACCAGCCCCAGGAGCGGAAGCCGCGTTCGGTGCCGTCGCTGTTCCCTTCTCCCGCTTTTGTGTCAGCTTGTCTTGTTTAGTCTGAAAGGAAGCAGGACTGGACTTCAACAACAAGGGCCACGACAACACGAGCCTTTCTCAAATAACTTTTCCTCTTTCACTGAAAAAAGGACAATTTCCCTGTGTCAGGCCACAGAGGGTACAAGCAAATGAGGGGCTGCCTTGTGGAAATGTGACCAAACAAACCAGGGACATTGTGAATATGAAAGCCTTGAGCTGTGTTTTACATGCTCAAAAGACACTTCTTTTTTTCCTCTATATTTAGCAAAAGGTTAAATCCAAATCAAAATAAATCCTCTTTGCTCAAACAGGCCATGGCCTCTGTACTTGCAAGCCCTGAACCAATTTAATTGTTTAATGTCATAAAGTGGCAGGCTCATGTTAACAGCTCGGACTTCAAGGTCGAATTATTTCACCAAAAATCCCAAACCCTGATATGAAAATCTGGCCTCCATTCAGGTATCAATTAGCTCTGTTTTAGCAGAGGCATTTTCTGTCAGAAAACATTACACAGAGCTTTCAGTTTAATAAATCAGCCATTAGTGGAAACTGATCCTATCCATGCCCTGAAATGGGCACACACCGTGTGAAAGGGGAACAGAGCAAAAGGGAAAGGTCTCAACAACTGTCAAGGGCCAGCTGGGCTGACTGAAATAATGTCATCACTCTAAGAAAGAAAGAAATTACTCAACTCCACAAATTCTTGATAGAATTTTTCTGGCTGCCCTAATTTATGCCATAAAGTACCTGGTCGATGTAAGAGGGCTTTCCTCCTCCTTCATGCAGGTTTAATCTGATCCCTGATCTCATCCACATGATCTCTGAGCAGGGGTTACTGGGGATTGCAGGGGTTAGTGCCACGCAGATGCCCAAGTCACTCCCATCTCACCTTTGCCTTCTGCCCCCATCCCTGTCCATGCCCTGACTACTTGGAATATTTGCTGCTCCTTTATTCAGTTCCTTTTCTAGGGAATTGTTTTATTCCCAACACCAGCAGCCCAAGGCCACCCAAAATTGCACAAAATAAAGAGGAACAGCACATTAGAGCTTTAAGCAAGTAGCCACAGGGGGTGTTTCTAAACCCAGGTTTTACTTGCCAAATTTAGACTCCACAAGGCAACAGATCACCTTGAGCAGGGTTTGTTCTAATCTTGGCCAGGGCTTATGAAACAACAAAACTCCTCTTACCTTTGGCAAACTTCATATAGTGGACACGTTTCTTGGAAGATTTGGATTTTTCTTCGAGGCTGAATGTCTTTTTCTGCTTTTTCACTGAGGACTCTAAAACAAACAGACCCCAAACAAAGAGGATCCAGTTCTGTTAGAGGCACTTAAGCATCAAATTCAAACATCAGTGTAATTAACTTTCTCTCTCAAAATCCAGTCAACAACATATCATAAAGTATTACTGAAGAAAGCATGCTAAGTTTTGTCTGAAATATGTCAATGCCTCATTTTTTTTTGCCCCATCCCCTTTCTCTCCCATTTCCACTCCAATGTAATTTGAAAAGGCAGATACAGGTACTCCAGGTCAAAGGCAAACCCATCTCTGTGGTAAGAAAATAATAATAGTGCTGTTTTTCATAGAGTATCTCCAGCACCAGAGTCTGAGAAAGATGTAAGAAATAGTAGGAAATAAAATACTGAGTGAGCAGAAAGAAAAAGGGGGAACCCCCCCTCCTCCAAACAGGATTTTAATTTCTAACCCTACACAAAATACCTTTATTTGGACATAAGCTGATACATCTGTGCAAGGAAACTGAATGGTGACAAAGCTTTTCTGTCCCTAAGGCCAGCTAGAACAAATTGCCACATCCCTATTATCTCATTTTCCAGCCTTCCAGAAGAGGGACTGCATCTAAACTGTCCTCTGGGAATGGTTTCTGGGGCTGGCTCAGTCCCAGAGTCACTCAGCAGTACTTTGGGAGACTGTGAGCAGGTTAAGGCCACGTGAAGGATTAAGCTCACTATTTAACAGCACAGACATCACGTTCCTCTGCTGTGGCAAGTTATTTTGGGGGTACAAATGTTCTCTTTGCAGTCACAGAACCTGTTAATTTACAAAGCATTGCCAGAAAGAGAGAACTAACCTGTTGTACAGTTAATTACTGCCTTACTAGTCCTGAAAAGAGGCACCACAGGAGTCTCTGCTCTGTAACTCCACAGAGGGTTACTATGGTGAGGTGTTTTTTTCCTGCCTGTGGGATGGGTAGGGAAATCAACCCATACCCTGAGGGCCAAGTTGAGTCACCTTTTTCATATGATCCCACCCTGGAAAGCTCTGCTGCCCAAGTTTTCTGACACTGGAACTGTTTGAAAGGCAGTGCCACCTGATCAATCCCTGAAATCCCCAGCCTGCAGTGGGAGAGCTGAGGGCCAGCAGGCTGAAACCCACTCTCCCACTCCCACACTAATGGGAAGAGAAAGGACCAGCAAATCCAGTTTTTAACAAAAAAACCCTCAATAAAAAGGGTCTGTGGGAAAGTAAGGATCACAACTAAAATATCCTGACAGCCATGCAGCACTTTGAGCCTGGTTTCCAATCTCCTGGTAGCAAAAGGAGCATTACACAGCAAAAGGTTTGCACAGAGCCTTCCTCCTCCACGTTATTCCTACAGGGAAAGGGGCAGCAGCACCGCCTTGTGCCTGCAGGGAGGAACTTCACTACAGAACGTGCTGGCACTTGCAGTGGGCAGGGAAATACATCCCTGTGTCTTCCAGGGACTGGAAAATCCTCTGACAAACTGAGTAAGCACTGCAGGAGTATTAATGTGGTTTTTAAAGCAATTTAGACGGGGCAATAAAGCCACCAAAGTGGCATTTCTGCAGCAAATGTGATCGAGGTGGATGTACCAAAGCACTGCCAGGGTGTTGCTCCCACTTTTTATCCTTGGAAAGGGACAGTCACCATCACTGAGGATCCCAGCAAAAGAGTCAGGAATTATGGAATGGTTTGGGTGGGAGAAGACCATGGAGTCCCAACTCCCTTCCACTATCCCAGGTTGCTCCAAGCCCTGTCCAACCTGGCCTTGGACACTTCCAGGGATCCAGGGGCAGTCACAGCTTCTCTGGGCAACCTGTGCCAGGGCCTCACCACCAGAGGATTAATTTCTTCCTAATATTTCATCTAATCTAAACCTGCCCTCACTTGGTGCCCAGCTAGGAAAAAAAAAAAAAAAAAAAAAAAGAAAGGAAAAGACAGCTAAAGCTACAGACACTGAGGGTATCTGAATGTTGGCATCAACCCCCACGGGGCCCTTCCTTTCCAACCTCTAATTGCAATCCAGCTCTGGCAACTGCACCGGTTCTTTAAGAACAATGAAGTTTTTCAGCTGACTTTTAATGCAGTTTGAAACTGGAGGGTGGCCAATAATGTTACATTTGCTCCTGCAGCACAGCTGCAGGCAGAGTCTTTTCCTGGATGAGTTTTGCCAGCTTCAACAATTGCCAAAAAAACAAGTTCCAGAGCGATGCCTTTCTGTAAATCACCAAATGTGACTTTGACCTGGAATGTCCAAGGTGCACCCAAATTTGTTCTCAGTGACTGAAAACTTGTCCCATCTCCTAAAAGGACCAAAAAAACTGAGTGAAACAGGGAGAAATAAGAGTTCTCACAGGTCACTTTGCATGAGGTGACCCAGGGAAGAGAGCAGAGCTTAGGGCCAAGCCTTGCTCCCTGAACCTGCCTCTGCTGACTCACCGTGGCCCTGGCAAGTTATTTCGGCTCTCTGCTCATCAGTCTGCAGGTTTCCCACCAGTTACACCTCCCTGATCTTCCCAGGGCTCAAGTTGCAACTTGGGCAGGGTTTAGTTCTAAAGGGAGACAGGAACTTGTGGAATTTCCCCATGAAATGCTCTCCTACCTCTCCAGGAGCTGAGTGACAGCACTGAGTCCTGGGTGGCCTCATGATTTCACAAGGACAGCTTGCATAACAGGTTGAAAAAGGTGTTTTGAGGCATCAGGCTCAAAATTTTAATCCTGTTACTCCAGGATTAGAAAATCTCCTTGCTAACTGGTTTTCCTCCTCTTCTTTCTGCATTTTCTCTCCTAGAAAACTCAGTGCTCAAAGGTTAAGAATGAATGAGTGAAGAGTTGGTAAATTCACTAATCTGGCAATTCTGCCCCTTGTGCACAAGGACAGGAGCCCCTGTTTTAACCACACTCCAGAGAGGTGTTCAGATACAAAACCAGAGTTTAAACTGCATTTAACTAAGGGAGAGATGATAAATCACTTGATAAACCAATTTCTTCTCTAAGCTCACACATACCACAACTTCCTAACTTCATTTTCACAAAGCAAGGTCAGTTTGTAAAGTTTTTCAAAAATAGAAGTCTTCAAAAATAGCCCTTTTGGGAAAGTTTCCCCACTTGTGTGCTCAACACCAGGGCTACAAAAATCACTTTATGCCACACTCAGAGCAGAGATGTAGAACTCTGAGGCAAAAGCTACAGAGAAGCTCTCCAAGGACAGGAAAAGGAGGTATTTAAGAAGCCACTGGAGCATGGAAGCCAAGTGTGACAGTTCACCAGCAAAAGGAAGGCAAAGCATTGCAGTGCTGAGTGATTGTTGTGAGCCTTCAGACAGATTCTGGGTGCTTTATAAAGAAGGAAATGTTCCTCTAGGTACAGCCCAGGGAAAGTGTCTCAAATATTGTGATCCTGGATAAAATAAACAGGTCCAGCATTTTCTGTTTTCTTTCCTCAAGAAAAAGGCTTTCTTTGAGTGGTGAGAGCAAAACTGATCCACTGAGATCCACAAATCTATCCTCATGGATGGCAACACATCCTTTGGCTCCCAGTGATTTTGGGGAAGGAGTTCTCAACCTAATCCAAAATATCATTTGTATCACAAACTGGGCCTCAGGATCTTTTTAAAGACACAGAATGGAAACTCTGCTGAGCTTCCAGCATCTGACTGAGCCAAGCATGAACCTACCTGTTTCACCCTGTCCATGGCAGTTATTCAGCTCAGCCAGAAGCTGGTTGAAGTCATCCTGATGAGCAATCCAGTTGTCCTGTAAATATCACCCACATGAATACAAGGCAGAAGTCTTCTGAACCAACACAAGTTTTACAAAACAGACACTAAGACTCTTAGAAGTAAATGAATTGGATATATCCAATCCTTGTTGGTGGGAGGGACCCTGGGAAGCTCCACAGGTGGTAACAGCAACCACAACTCCTACAGCCACCCCAAAGTGAAGTGAAATTAAAAGGGTTCTCTTGGAAATCCTAAACAATCCTGTTTAAGATGCTACCACCAGCTGTGACTACAGATTTCACTGATATTCTCTTCAAAGAATTGTGCTTTTGCTGAAATGGGATCCATTCCCTGCCCTGGGTGTAGTGCTCACCTCGTGATTGATGGTAGCTCCTAATCCCAGCACGTCGTTTTTCACCTTAACCCTGATGTGTTCTGGGTTTCCTTGCTCCTGAGCCCCGAGACCCTAAGGAGGATTTGAGGGCAAAAACGTAAGGATTTCACAGCAGCAATTGGAGCTTTTGGACTGTGAGACAGTTCACAGGGAAATACAGCAAAAAAATAACAACTTCCTGTTAATTTGCCTGCTCGTAGCTGAATTCATTCACAGGCATTACCACACAACACACAAAGTTTTTTAAATTTACTACTTAAGCCTCCAGCAAAGCATTATAAACACTAAAATAGCAACAACATTAAGTAGTTGGGTGATTAATCAGGAAGCCACCTGACATCCCCAAGCAAGCCCAAATTGTTTAGCAGTTTTCCAACAAGACTCTACATAAGAACATGCCTCTCCCCAAAAATGTCTCTGTCACTGGGAAGGGTAATGGGAATGAGGCAGATCCACACAGAACACACAATCCAAACCAAATTTATATGGAAGAAGAGCAGGGAGGGGCAGGGGAGAAGCAGACTGGAGCCAACAGGACATTCACAACTGCTTCCACCTCAAAAGTGGGTGAAAATATTGGAGCAAACAACTTTGGGGTTGTTTAATATGCAGCAATATTCAGGTCCAGGGTTATCTTTCTCAACTGTGTTTTCAAGGCTAAAAAAATAAAAGGCAAAACTTAGGGTTTAAAACTTTGTTCCTGGTATTTTTACCTGCTTTTTGCCTCATCTGTCACACATCATCAGCCAAATGTGCTAGAATTAATAAACATTTATATGGTGCTGCAGTGGAGAGAAGCCCTGCAGACACATCCTGGGGTGTGGAAAATTTGAAGGGATGAGCCCTATTTGGAAAAGGCTCTACAAAGAAGAGTTTATTTGGTCAATGGGGTGGAAAATTTGCCTTGAAACTTCTGCTGACCAAAATCTATGGAAGCAAGCAGAACACTTGGCCACACATCCTTCCCTGACCACATTTCAGTACAACCACTTACAGGATTGGTGTTAAGCAGCCTAATTTCAGTGCCCAGATGGGCTTTTGCCCCTTAATTTGATCAAGGGAAAGTTCCATTTGTCCAAGTTTGTAATGGAATGGAGACATAAATCCTTTTTGTACAACTGCTGGCCAGGAACATTCAGTATCTTGAGTGGGAAATGTTGTGACACAACTGAGACAACAGTTTAAATCCAAAAACAGGCTTTAAGGCATTTACAGAATTGAGAATGATCCCAATTTTATCCTATAATCCTAACTTTTAAGGAAAGTCTGGAAGAGGAAATCTAGAAGAATAATTAAAGTTAATGGGGGTTTTGTGGGGATTCTTGTCACTGAACACCCTGATGTGCAGCCCCAAATCTCAGCTTTGCTGAAGCACCTCTCTGGAATTAAACCTGCAGTTTGCAGGTGTCTGTGCTGACCTGGAGGTTTTTATTTGTGCCAGAAACCAGTCCCCTCACCCACAGGTGCTGGTTGGAGCTGGGAGGGGACACAGCTCACAGCATTTTGGGGGATTCAAGGAACAGATCAGAAAAAAAAACCTTAAAACCGGGTGAAAGACTAAAGCAGGTCCTGGAGTTGCCTTAAAGAGTAGCAAAAGCAGGGAGAGAATTGAGGGTTTAGAGGCAGCTTAAAACCCTTAACCCAATTAAATGTTCCAACTGCTGCTCTCACTTGGGAATTTAGATTGTCAAAGAATGGAGAGAAACTGGAAAGCAGGAGAGGCACAAACAAGACTTTGTAACAAAGTGTAGAAATCTATCACTGCTCAAATTCCCTGTGCACTTAAGAGAATAAATCAAAACTGTCTCCTGGCAGTTTTAGACCCTTCAGCTACACTGTTCTCCTTTAGATCCTACCTTTCCTTTGGACCAGCCCATCTTTTCCAGCATCTTCTGGCCAAATTTGGAGTCATCGTTGCTCCAAGCACTGTTCCTTGGATCCACAGACCACTTCTGCTTTCTCCGGGCTGCAGCAGGAAGGGAAAAGTCAATCAGGCTCTATTGGCATTCCCAGAGAGTTCTTGGTATTGAATCACAACAACCAAAGCTCTTCATTGCAAAAAAACCACCCCAGAATGATGCCAGACTTGATATATTTTGGGGGTTAATTTTACTAAATGAAAAAACACAACAACAACAATAAAAGCCCAGTGAAAATATTAATTATTATGGGAAGATGCCAAAATGGGATTGCTGAGGAAGCTGCTGTCCCTCAGGATGGGCTGCAGGATTACCATTTAGGTGTGAATTCCATATTGATTCCAATTTTGTTTTACATCTGGCTTCAACATGGAGTCTACAGAGAAAGAGATTATGATGCTGCTTTCCCAGTTCTGGACAAAATCAATTCTCCAGGCTTCCCTCTAACCAGAACCCAGACATTTTAATATTTGGTTTCCTAACAAAAGCCAAATGAAAAATCCAATGTAAGTGATCAGAGAAAGGGAATGACAGAACAGAAACCTGTGGGATTTCAGCCTTTGGATTTCTCAAAAACGGTTTATGGGGAAACTGAAAAGCTGCCAGAAATTATTGCAGGAGTTAAGAGATACAAAGAAGAATCAAGGCCCCTTTGTCCTATGTGGATTCCTAAAGAAATTACAGATTCCCAGACCCACATGTTGCTTTTCCCACCAGGAACAGCTTCCTTGAAATCAAGGAAGAGCAGTCAGCCCAGTTAACCAGTCACTTGAAGTGTGCACCTAAGCCTGGGCAGGAAGAGAACCTAAATAAACAAGACAAACAAAGAATGGGAGACAGGAAGATCACAAACTTCATTAAACACCATGGGAAATGCTGGATCAAAAATGACCGGTTAACCCAAGGCCACACAAGGCAGGGAGAAGCCAAATCCAACGAGGTGTTTTCAATGCAATCAGGAAGTCATCGTTCCCTAAAAGACAAGATTTGGGATTTGGGCCAGAGGGATTGAATATTACAGGGATGTTTGACTCATTTTTTGCCCAGTTTTGTTTCATTTTTAAGGAACTAAGACTGTCAGAATTCAAGGTGGGCGCTTTTTTTATCGCACTTCCGAAACTTTGAAGCTCCAAACAGTCCCCAAACAGTTTTTAACTGGGTTAAAGGCCCGAGGGCTGTGAGGGGAACCCAACCTTTGCCTGCTTCACTCCTCTGCAGGAAACAACTTATTAACCTCAGAGACTGTGGCTGCCCCTGGATCCCTGGAAGTGTCCAAATCCAGGCTGGATGGGGCTTGGAGCAACCTGGGATTGTGGAAGGTGTCCCTGGCCATGGCAGGGGGTGGAATGGGATGAGCTTCAAGGCCCCTTCCATCCCAAACCATCCTGGGATTCTTGATTATTCCCACTAGGAAACCTTGAGAGCAGCAACTCGTCCAAGTCCTGCCTGTGGTGCCAAGAAAAGATGGGGAACCAGCACTGTGGTCTGTGATTTTCAACTTTAAACTGGGATTCCCTGCTGCCCCATGGAGAACCACAGGCTCAGCCTGGAGAAAAGGAGGCTCAGGGGGGACCTTGTGGCTCTGCACAACTCCTGACAGGAGGGGAAAGCCTCTTTTCCCAAAAAAAAAGGGACAGGAGGAGAGGAAATGCCTTCCAGTTGTGCTAGGGAAGGTTTAGATTGAAAATGAGGGAAAAAATTCCTCATGAAAAAAGTGATCAGCCATTGGAACAGCTGCCCAGGGCAGTGGTGGAATCCCCATCCCTGGAGGGACTTCAGAGCCCTGTGGATGTGGCACTTGGGGACACAGCTCAGTGGTGGCCTTGGCAGTGCTTGGACTTGGAGGTCTGGGAGATCTTTTCCAACCCTGGTGATTCTGGTTCAAGCAGATCTTACATTCCCCAGCTGAGCAGCTGCCCCTCTTTTCAATCACAGCTTCAGAAGTGAATTTCTATGGTTCTTCCTGAATATCTCTCCTTGTGGAGAAGCCCCTGAAATGTTTTGCACCCAGGAGGTTGTTGGTCACAAAGCACAAGGGCATCAAACACAATTATTTCTTGAATTAAGAGGCATTCCCTTCCCCAGCACTTTCAATCTAAGTGTTGCAACCTCCTTAGCTACACTGTGGCATTAATCCCCATGTTTCTGCCAGGTTAACACACTCTGAATAAAATAATTAACAAATTCTGAAAAAAATGACACCAAAATTCACACTGAAATTACCTAAAAAATTCCATGTGCAAATGCAGATTTGTTTCCCTAAAATCACAGCTTTATTTCCCACTGTACACCACATTTGTTATTTGTATTGTCCAAATTTCCTGCAGCCCAGCAAAGAAATTCACCAGACCCTGAGCTCTTGGTCAAGGGTGTCCTGTCAGAAACGGGGAGCTCAACTTCTCAATCCCCTCAGAGGCAAACCTGAAGCTTTTTGTTTCCAATATCTGGAATATTTCAATAAAATGCACAGAATTATGGAATATTCTGAGCTGGAAGGGACCCACAAGGATCACTCAGTCCAACTCCTGGCCCTGCAGAGAGACCCAACAATCCCACCCTGAGAGCATTGTCCAAACCCTGCTGGAGCTCTGGCAGCCTTGGGAATGTCACCATTCCCTGGGGAGCTGTTCCCTGTCCCTGGGAGCAGGAATTGGAGCTGTCCCTCAGGAGAAGCTGCAGCCCTGCTGAGCTCTGACTGTGGAAATGCAGGCTCAGACAGAGAGATGGACACAGAGTTTGATTTAAGGCCTTGGAGAAGGCTTGAAGCTTCAGAACAGAGTAGTGAAACAGAAACAAAATAAGAATAAAGATTTGTAGTTTAAGCAGAAATATGTTTTGAGCAAGTAGATACAGGCCTCATGTAAGTGAACAAATATGCTAAGCAGGACAGCAGAAAACAATTCAAGTTTAACAACAGAACTTGTTACAGAGTTGATAGAAAAAGATAAATTGGGGTAAATCATGTGATTGTGATGCTAATTGTGATTAGCAATTGGTTATAAAGATCCTGGTGAACTTTGTGGAAGCAGCTGACTGGATAAGGAATCAGAAATTTGAATAAATGCCTTAGAAAGGCATTGTAACTGGAATTGTAACAGCCTCTGATGTAACAACCTCACAGCCTCACCTTTCCATGGCTGATTTTGCAATAAACCATCTTTTAAACTCTTCAGTCTCTCTGCATCCCCAACCTCTGCCCCCAGTCCCCTCCAGGACAAACCCAGTGCCCTCTGTCACTGCTCCCTTGGTCCCTGCAGGCCCTTCCCCACCCCAAATCCTCCTCTGGAGGGTCCCTAAAAGCAGGAGATTGGCTCAGGCTGAGCTCAGCTCCAGCAGTGACCCAGAAATGAGCCAGGCACTGAACCCAGCACCAACACACAGCTCTGCCACGTCCCCTGAGTGTCACCAACACCCAGCACATGGCCCTGCCACCTCCCCTGAGTGTCACCAACACCCAACACACAGCTCTGCCACGTCCCCTGAGTGTCACCAGCACCCAGCACACGGCCCTGCCACCTCCCCTCAATGTCCCCAGCACCAACACAGAGCTCTGCCAGTCCCCTCAGTGTCACCAACACCCACACCTGGCTCTGCCACCTCCCCTGGGTGTCCCCAGCACCCACATGTGCCCCTGCCACCTCTGCTCAGTGTCCCCAGCACCAACACACAGCTCTGCCATGTCCTCTCAGTGTCACCAAAATCCGGCCCTGCCATGTACCCTGGGTGTCCACACCACCCACACCTGGCTCTGTCATGTCCCCTCAGTGTCCCCAGACCCAACACCCAACCCTGCCACATCCCCTGGGTGTCCCCAGCACCAAAATCCATCCCTGCCATGTCCCCTCAATGTCCCCAGCACCAACACACAGCTCTGCCAGTCCCCTCAGTGTCATCCACACCTGGCTCTGCCACGTCCCCTGGGTGTCCCCAGGACCAACACACAGCTCTGCCACATTCCCTGACTGTCACCAACATCCAGCACATGGACCTGCCACATCCCCTGGGTGTCCCCACCACCCACATGTGGCCCTGCCACCTCTGCTCAGTGTCCCCAGCACCCACACCCAGCCCTGCCACATGCCCTGGGTGTCCCCAGCACCAAAATCCATCCCTGCCATGTCCCCTCAGTGTCCCCAGCACCAACACACAGCTCTGCCACATTCCCTGACTGTCACCAACACCCAGCACACGGCTCTGCCACCTGCCCTGGGTGTCCCCAGCACCCACACCCGGCCCTGCCACCTCCCCTCTGGAGGTGTCTCCCCTCAAACACAGAGCCAGAGATGGCCCCGAGCCACTGACAGGACGAGCTGTCCCCAGAGGTGTCCAAGGGACATTCCAGCTGCTCCTGCCCTGCTGGGACACGATTACCCCCCTGCACCCCTCATTCTGCACCAATGCCCCCCTGGAGCCCCTTTGGGCCCTCCCAGCCTCCAGGCCCCACTTCTCCTTGACCCTGGCACCCTCTGGATGCCCCTTCCCGCCTTTCCCCGACCCCAAATCCTCCATTTCTCACCCCAGGCACCCCTGGATCCCCCCCTCTCCCCCCTTTTCCTTGGCCCCAGGATCCCCCACGCTCCCATCCTGCCTTTCTCAGCCCAAATCCCCTCATTCTTCAACACCGGAGCCCCTAAACCTTTTTCCCGGCCATCCTGGCCTCCCTGACACAGGGAACCCAATTTCCTGGCCAGAGGGACCCCTCATCCCGTCTCTCCCCGTCCCTGCACTCCCCTTTCCTTAACTCCGAACCCCTTTATCCGGCCCTGGGACGCCCCCGCACCCCGCGGGAGGGGCAGCGCGGCCCGGACCCCTCAGGCAGGGCTGTGGGGAGGGTCTGAGGCCGCTCCCGGGGCACCGGCTCGTCCCCATTCCCGCAGCATTCCCGCGGCATTCCCGCCGGGATCGGCACTCACGTTCCGCCAGCATCGCCATCTTGGGGGCCTTCCTCCGTGCAGGGGGGCTTTCGTGATCTCCGGCGCATAAAAAGGGCGGCTTAACTGGCGCCTGATTTAAAAAAAAGTTTTAAAACAGGCAAGCGCAGCGGCCACCAAAGTGAAAATTAGGAAAAAAAAAAAGTTTGGAAATTTGCTAAAATTCGAATAAATATCTTAAAACCCGTCTCGGCTGTGTACCGGCTGTTTCCGAGCCGGGGAAGGGGATGAGCAGCACTCACTGTGTGTGGTGGGGAATAAGGGGCACGGGCAGGGGGAATATTGAAGAGAATTTCAGGTGTGGATGTCCCTGGAGTTCCCAAATCTCGCTGTCGTGGGAGGGAAATGGGGACGGATACACAGAGGCATCTTGAGAAACATCCCCTTCCTACCTTTCTGTGAAATGTGTGTGCGTGTGGAAAATATATTTTTTTTTTATTTTATTTTATTTTTTATTTTATATTTTTATGCAGCCCCTCTGATGAGTTGCTGAATCAAAGTGATTCTATACAGGATTTTGTTTGGGTTTTTTTTGGGGGGGAGGGGGTTTGTTTTTTGTTGCTTTGTTTTTAGTTTGGGCGGGTTTTTTGTGTTTGTTTGGTTGGTTTTTTTTTTGTTTGTTTTTTGGGGTTTTTTTGTGTAGTTATGTTCTTGAGCTCTTGGTCTTTCATATTTTCTAGGATTTTTAGCATCTCTTCAGTTGTTTTATTTGAAGACCAGCACCCAAAATATGACTGTGTTCTTCAGGCATCTTCCTTGCCTGCATTTTGCATCTAAGTGCAATATTTTGTTCTTTAATATCCCTTTTATAGAGGGATAGAGGTTTTATATTCTGTATTTGTGACAATTCTGTCTTTTACCCTTTACATGTCCTGAGGAGCCCAGAGCTGGACACAACACCCCAGATGTGCCTCACGGGGCTGAGCAGGGGGACAGGATCACTCCCTGACCTGCTGGAAATGCTCTTCTTGGTGCACTTCTAGATAATTTTGGCTTTATTTGCCCTCCTGGATCACTTTGGCCTTCTTTGCCCTCTGGGCACTGCTGGTGAAGGACACCTTCCACTATCCCAGGTTGCTCCAGCCTGGCCTTGGGCACTTCCAGGGATCCAGGGGCAGGCACAGCTTCTCTGGGCAACCTGTGCCAGGGCCTCACCACCCTCACAGCCAGGAATTCCTTCCAATATCCCATCTATCCCTGTCTTCTGGCAGTGGGAAGCCATTCCCTGTGTCCTGTCCCTCCATCCCTTGTGCCAAGTCCCTCTCCAGCTTTCCTCCAGATACTGTGAGGCCACAATTAGGTCACCCCAAAGCTTCTCTTCTCCAGGCTGAACAAGTCAAATTCCCTCAGCCTTTCCTCACAGAGAGGATCAGGACAGATTTCCACTGCCCTTTCTCCATCCATCCTCCCATCTGGATGGCAGCTGGGTTACAGCTCCTCAACTCAGCTTTTCCCACTGCTTTGCCTCTGTGCCTTTGGATTTATGTTACAGTTCCCTGTTTGCTTTGGGAACACTGTGCAAGACAGTTTTTATAAGGTTTTTTGTCTTTTCTTCACAGAAAAAGCAAACAAACATTTTATCTGTGTCTGTTCCTCTCTAAAACCCCTTCTGTCTGTCAGCAAAGTTACATTGGTATGGTGGAGCTTGATCCTGGCAAATCTCTAAATTTATAATTTATAATATAAATTATATAATTTATAATTAGCTTGATGAATTATCTTTAATAGTTCATATTTTGCTCTGGCTGCCCCACTTCCTCCTTTAAACAAGGGTATTGAACTGGTCCTTTTGTACTTTTCTGAGGCCATATCCCACTGCCAGGAATCCTCACAGGGTTTGTTCTCCCCAGACTTTATTGCCAGTTCTCTGCACTTTCAGGTCACATTCATCAGGCTTGACTGATGTGAAAACAAATAAATACTGCCCAGACCTTCACTATGTGGCAGAGAGATATTTTCCTGTTCAAAAGTTTCACTTAACACTTTTCCCCAGGAGGAAATCCTTGGAGGTCAGAATCAACCATAGAAGAGCCTTCATTCTGTGTTCATAGAGTCACACGGGATCACAGAATCATGGAATTATTAAGGTTGGAAAAGGCCTCCAAGATCACTGTGACTGATCCCCACCTTGTCACCAGTCCAGAGCACTGAGTGCCATGTACAGTCCTTCCTTGGACATCTCCAGGGATGGGGATTCCAAACCTCCCTGGGCAGCCTCTCCAATGCCTGACTGCCTTTTCCATGAAGAAATTCTTCCTGGTGTCCAACCTGACTCTGTCCTGGCACAGCTTGAGGCCATTTCCTCTCATCCTGTCCCTGTTCCCTGGGAGCAGAGCTCAACCCCCCCTGGCTGTCCCCTCCTGTCAGGAGCCACAGGGTCACCCCTGAGCCCCCAACCTGAGCCTCCCCTGGTGCAGGGGAGGCTCTTTCCTCTCATCCTGTCCCTGCTCCCTGGGAGCAGAGCTCAACCCCCCCTGGCTGTCCCCTCCTGTCAGGAGCCACAGGGTCACCCCTGAGCCTCCTTTTCTCCAGGCTGAGCCCCTTTCCCAGGTCCCTCAGCCCCTTCCCCAGCTCTGTGTCACCTCATCTGCTTTCCAGTACTCACAGGTCACTCACCAGCATCCTCACAGAATCACTCAGGCTGGAGAAAACTTCCAAATCCAACCATTCCCTCAGCACTGCCAAGGCCACCGCTGCCCCATGTCCCCAGGTGCCACATCCACATGATGTGGCTTTTGAATCTCTGCAGGGATGGGGACTCCAGCAGTGCCCTGGGCAGCCTGTTCCAATGTTTGACCACCCTTTCAGTGAAGAAATTTTCCCTCACATCCAATCTAAATCTCCTCTGGCACAACTTGAAGCCATTTCCTCCTCCATTGAGGGAGTTGTAGGAAGTCTCCTTCCCTTCCACCACAACCCAGGCATTCTCTGTGGTGGCCACTCTTTGCTGTCATCTGTATCTGAAATAAAATAATTTATCCCTCCCTTATCCTTCCACCTGTATTCCCTGACCCAAGTGCCATTCCTGGCAGTGGCAGCCATTTCTATGAATTATACTTCTAAGATTTCTTTTACATCAATGAAATTGTACTGTATGTCGAGTGTTTTGATGATCACTTGTGTGTGAAACACCAGCCGAATGCTGCTCTGGTTTTAGTTCTGGAGAGGTTTTAGTCTCCTGCCTGAGAGCTGAGTGCTGTATTTGATGGCTCCAATAGGGAGCAGCATTCCCCACGTTTGGAACAGCCTCGCTGTGGGATAAAGACATCACTGGATGTGGAAAATGCGAAGTAATTTCTGTTAAAGGATGCCTTGAGGTTGAGATTTTTCTCTTGTTTGGTTTTAAAACTTAATATTCGGCTGCATTAGAGCGCTTCTGCCTCCAGAGTTCTCACTTCTGGCTGGCAAAGAATCTCAACTGCAAACACCAGGGAGGTCGTATTTGATTTAATTATTATTTAATATTTGCTTAACGGGAAGCTTGAGGTCAAGGTCCAAATTACCCGACACAGTTCTTGCAAATTAGGAGTTTATAAAACAATTAAGTCCACGAATATGCATAGGGGCAGTGAAATTAGGCAGAGAAAAGGTTTCATCCAGGGGCAATGTGTGTTTCCCAATTACATTCCTGACTAAAAGCTGGTGTCACAGGAAAAAAAAAAAAGTGAATGTTTGAATATATATTTTCTGCTATGGCTTATTCCATCCCTCTAAGAAAATAACCTAAAATCCTGTTTCCAGTGTGCCTGGGGAGGTTGAGATGTAGCTCTGGAAAATAAAACGATAAAAGATGCCTGGTGGGCATTCCATTCGGAGTTCTTCCTTGGAAAGAGCTGTTTCCTGAGAGCCAGCCCTGCAAGGATCATCCAGGGCTTGGAGTCTGAGCAGGGAATTTTCCTCCCAGCACATCCTTACCAGTTGCTGTCAGCTCCAGAGTCCCTTCAGGCTTTGGGGAATTCCTTTGGTGCCATTCCCAGGTGGAGCTGGGGTCAGGGAAAGATCCAGGTGGGATGAAGAGAGTCAGCAACATGGGAATTGAAATCTCAGGTTTCTGTGTTGAGATGATCCCCAAGGTGTCAGAAAGTATTTTTTTTTTTTTCCCCAGTCCCACGACCGAAGAAATCGAGATTAGTCGGTGCTGCTTTTCAAGGTTGTTTATTTTTTCTTATCTGTTACATTCTTTCTCTGACCTGCTGAGATCTGTCCTGCAGCTCTGGTTGTGGCACAGCGCCTGCCCTTGGGGTGGTGTTAACTTTTTATACTAAAAACTACACGTACTTTATTTACAAAAATTTTTAAATACCTATCACCTATGTTAGACAGTCTGTCTCTACTCTAAACCAATCCAAAAGTGTCACCATCCCAGCAGAAGATGGAGGACAAGAAGAAGGAGTAGAAGGACAGGACATGCTCAGATTCTCCACCTTGCCTCTTGAACCATTTTAAAACCCCAAAATTCTACTTTTTTACCCTGTGACAAATTAACAATCATTCTACTCAAACTCTTGTGGCTTGTAAATCTTCACACAAAGTTGGTGATTTTTTTCCATAGAGTAAAATCGAAGGCACAGGTGTTTTTGATTCTGTGCCAAGGTCTCTGAGCCCCTTGCCAGGGTTTCCAATCACCCAGGGCAGCCAGAGGAATGTCCTGGGTCCCGACATTGAAACAGCAAGATAGTGGAGGGGGGTTGGAAGCGCATCTAAGCCTGATACTCACCTTGCTGACCCCTTTCCACCTGGAGAAGACCCTTGGAAGGAGAGAATTACATTTCCCAGAGCTCTGTGCCCTGCAGAAGGTCCCCATTCCAATGCTCCATAAACCAGGGAGATGTGAGGAGGGAGAGGCGGCCAGGAAAAGAAAAGTGGGGGGAAAAAGGAGGAAGAAAGCGAGGAAAGAAATTGGATGTGAGTCCCGGCTGTGCAACAAGTCCTTTGTGAGGCAAATCAGCCTCTGTTGTGCGATAAATGGCCTGAGGCCAGGCTGGAAATGCTTATTGAGGGAGTCCTGGGAGAGGTGTG